CAGTTTCTCTTCTATATTCCAATAGTATTGTTACTGTTCTTAATAGAATGAACAAGAAAATACTAAATATAGTAATATTTATATTTAATAAGGAATAAGAATAGTATCAGTGACTATGTGTACTTGAGAGAGTTGAACTAGATAAGATCTGTAAGTTAGGAATTTCCTTTGGAAATCTAAGAAATGGGATATTGATAAAATCCGTGGACTCTTAATAAGAATATAATTATTATCTTTAAATAATAACAAGTTATAATGAGCAAATTATAACAAATTATAATACTTTCACTAGTTGGATGAGTAATTATAGTCAGAAGGGTACGAGTAATAAAATATAAGAGAATAACTTTCACTAGTTAGGTAAGTTAAAATCAAATATAAAATGTTTAAAAATCAGAATAAGAAAAGGTAATAAGATAAAGAGAAGTATTAGTTAACTTCTTGAATTTTATTAATCTTCAATTGGATTAGAACTCAAAGACTTTTGATCTCTCCTGTTATCTAGTTTACAGAGTGTTCTTTTTATAAGAAAAGATATTACACTGATCTATATTTACGTGAAATATATCTAATCTATAATTAATTACGTGACTTAATTAGTGAAACATTAAGTACTACATTAAATAAATTAGTAATACATTAAGTATGATATTAATCTAATTAGCATAACATTATCTAAATTAGTGTCTCATTACACATGATTTAGAATACCAATAAGAAATTTAGAAGATAAACATATGTTTATCACAATTAAAAATATAATAACTCAGACAAATAAGTAATTAATGTCATGTTAAATTAAATAAAAGTGAATTATAAATAATAATTAAAAATAGAAATAGGCTGTGTTAATTAATAATATAAATAATAAAAGACAAATTAAAAATGTGAATTAAGAAATCAAAGAATTTAAGAAATTAAAAGAAAAGAATTAAGAATAAAAGAATGTAGTGATGCAATTTGAGATCATTACTGAAGGCAGGGGACGAACAGGTAACAGGACCCCTGGTTTAAGAGTTTTACTCCGTGAAATTTATATAATTATAATAGATTCTAATTTATTAAATTCTATATAAAGCTTCAAATAATCTCTATTATAAGGGTTCTTTAAAATTTTACCATCTAGAGTGCGTAATTTGTAAGCACCTTTATCAAATTTATCATGTATATAGTAAGGACCTTTCCATTTTTCTCCAAACTTATCATGATGACAATATTGTGTTTCCATTCATTTTATCAAGACTTTATTACCTATCTCAAATACTTGGGTAATTTTATTCTTATCATAATATTCTTTTTATTTTTCTTGAGCCTTTTGAATATTTTGTAAAGCTATTTCTCTGTCTACTTCTAATTGATCAATAATATGACAGGCTCTCTATACAATTTGTTCTTCAAGTATAGCTTGCTGATTATTAGATGGTGCTAATTGAATATCCAAGGATGTAATTGCTTGATGACTATTTACAAGGTAAAAGGGCTCAAATTGTGTTGTACTTTGTCTTATTGTTCTATATGCAAATAAGACACTAGGCAAATAATGATCCCAGTCTTGTTTGTAGAGCTGAATATACTTTGCTAGTACAGTACAAATTATTCTATTTAATCATTTTATCAAGCTATTAGTTTGGGGATGATATGATGCAAATAGTCGATATTTAACTTGATATTTATTCAATAACTCAGCAATTATATCATTAACAAATATAGTTTCTCAGTCAGAGATTATCTCTTTTGAAAAACTATGTCTACAAATAATATCCTCATATAAGAATGGAATTATGCTTTTGGCTGCGGTATCTGGTATAGCTCTGGCTTCTGCCCATTTAGTAAAATAATCTATAGTGACAATAATATAGTGATTACTATTTTCTGTTGATGGTAACGGTTCTACAAGATCAATATCAATCTTCTCAAAGGGTTGTGTGACTGGTATGGGTGTCATCTTATTATTTTTTTTATTTTATCCTTTATGCTGATAAATATCACATGCTTTAATATAATTATCAATATCTCTATACATTTGTAACCAATAATACTTTTGATATATGCGATGATATGTATTCTCAATTTCAAAGTGGCCAATAAAATGTTCATTGTAGAGAACAGTTTCTAGTTCAGTAACTTTAATCACCTATTGTGGTTGGTTATTATCTATTTTATTTCTTTTATATAGTTGATTTTTGTCTATAAAATATTGTTTTGACTTTGCGAGAAATTTGCAGGTTTGATCAGTTGTGAGGTTGTCTGGTAGGGTGAGCGAGTGTAGATAGTTATATATATTAACATATTCTTCCAGATTCATTTGGGATGATTGTTGTTATTAGTGGTGTGTGATATTCTTGAAAGAGGGTTAATATTTGAATGGATTCAGTCTTTTTTATGTATGACTTCAAAGTTGTATTCTCTTAGTGCCATGATCCAATGAGAGAGTCTTCCTGGTGGATCAGACTTGTTAAATAACCAAGTAAGTGCAGAATAATCAGTAATTAATTGAAATGGGATGTTGGAATGTAAGTAGGAGTGAAAGAGTTTGATTGCCCAATGTACGGCAAGATATTCTAATTCAGTGACTGAGTATTTGCTTTCAGCTTGAGAAACTTTTCTACTTGCATATGCAATTACTTTCTCTTGATTGTTTTCATCTTTTTGAGATAGAACAACACCTAATCCAATACCAGAGACATCAGTAAATAGGATGAATGGCTTTTCAAAGTCTGGGTATGTTAATATAGGTGCAGTGGTAAGATGTTTCTTTAGTTCTTCAAAGGTGGTCTGTTGTTTGAAAGTCCATACAAAAGGTTTATCTTTATGAAAAAGTTGGTGAAGAGGTGATACTATCTTAGCAAAGTCTTTGATAAAGTGACGATAATAAGAAGCAAGACCAACAAATCCTCTAAGTGTGATAAGATTGGTTGGTACTGGAAAGTTTTGAACTTTCTCTATCTTAGCTGGGTCAGGTTTGATATCATCTTTGCCAATGATATATCCTAGGAAGAGTAGCAATATTTTACCAAAATGATATTTATCTGGCTGTACTTTCAATCCTGCTTCATGAATCTTGTCAAAAGTTTTTCTAAGATGTTGTAAATGCTCTTCAAATATTTTTGAGTAAACAGTTGTATCATCTAGATATATAATAATGAATTTGCCAATGTAGTTGTGAAAGATAGTATTCATTAAGCGTTGAAATGTGGCAGGTGCATTAGTCAAATCAAATAGCATGACATTAAATTCAAAAAGACCTTGCTTGATGATGAAGGCAGTTTTAGGTCAGTCTTCTGACTTCATGCCTACTTGTCAGTATCCTGCTGCTAGATCAATAGTTGAGAAATATTTAGTGTTTTGAAAGATATCTAATAATTCATCAATGCGTGGTAGTGGATATTTGTCTTTCTTGATGATATTATTTAATTGACGGTAGTCAATACATAGTCGGTATTTGCCATTTTTCTTCTTGACAATTACTACAGATGCAGATCAGGGACTTTCTGAAGATGATATAATTCCTTGGTCTAACATCTTTTGAATTTTTTCTTCAAGAAATTGATTCTCAATTAGTAATTTTCTGATGTATGGCTTTAAGATAATAGGATGATTCTCTTCAAGATGTATTTCATGTTGAATAATATCAGTATAGCCAGATGTTTTAGTATCAAATAAGTCTACATATTCATCAAGTAATACCTGCAATTATGCTTATTGTTGAGTAGTAAGGTCAGACTCAATAGTAGTATTTATAGCATTATAGGTTAGTTCTGGAATAATTTCTAATTGCTGATAAATATTTTGCTCTTTAATATATTGATCATATTTTTTACTATTTTTGATTTAATGTGAACAATTATAGAAATCTTCTAAGCGTTCTCTTCTTATACAATTAATATCCAGATTATCATGAGTCTCATTATTAATTTCTGTATAATAAGATCCTATTGCAATATTTATTGTTGGTTGATCAGGTGATCTTTCATTGATATATAATAATGGCTATTCTTCAGTTATTGTCTCTTCATATTCTTCGTGTTCTTCATCTGGATCTTCATAGTCATCCAGGTCAAAGTCATCATAAACAGAGACTTCTTCTTTTTGTTTCTGTTCAACTGGTCTTCTATGACTTGTGCAGATAATTGAGATATTATGCTAGTTATTATTATTAGTAAATGATAAAGTTTTTGATGGCCAATCTAGTATAGCTTCATGTTGATGAGCCCACATATTTCCAAGTAGGACATCATACTCTGCATTTTTGAGTACTAGTATATTAATGATAAAGTTTTGTTCTTGCATAATTACTGGTAGATCTTTAATTTCTCCTAGAGGTACTTCAGATTTGCCATTAATTCCAATCAAGTGAATATTTGAGGGGCTGGTAATAGTTTGATTAATAGATTTTAAGAATCTTTTTGACATAATATTACTGACTGATCCACTGTCAATGATAATATTGACTAGTTTATCTCCAATAATTCCTATGCAATGCATTGCGTTAACTGGTAATTTCTCATTATTATCTTTTTTTTTATTATATTCTTGATTCTCAATTAATAGTTGTTCTAATTTTTGTTTTGCTGAAGGTTTTATTATTTCTAATGCACACTTACCTTCTAGAGGTGCATTGTCTAGTTTAAATGATTTTGTTGATTTTTAGTAGTTGATTGTTAGTTGGATTAAATTAACTATTATAACTGTTGAAGTAGATCTTCTTGTTGATTACTTTCTTTAATTTGACTAAAGTTGCTTGGTTGTTGATTGTTATAATTATTATTATTATTTTTATTATTGTAGTTGTTTTGATTTCTATTATTATTATTGTTATTATTTCTATTATTATTATTATTATTATTATTTCTGTTACTGTAGCAGTTACAAGCTAGATGTCCAATTTTTTCATAATTATAACAAGTATTATTGTTATTACTATTATTATTTCTGTTATTATTATTATTGCATTAAGGATTATTACGTGAATTATTATTATTGGTGGTCAGATTCTTAATTTATTTTGTCAATTCTAGTAAAGTAGCATTAATATCAGGTTGATTATTTACTACTGGTACTGCTGGAAATGGTATTCCAAAATGTTGAGGAATGCTTTGGACAGGGATTACAAGAGTATTATTATATGTTGTCTTATAACCAATTTCTGATTTGATAGCGAGATCAATAGCTTTCTCAAAGATATCGGATGAATCTAGGTTGAGGAAGAAGATATATTGTAATTAGAGACCTTTGATGAATTCTCTAATTTTATATTGAGCTAGATATGCATCATCTGGATCAATTTTATGAAGTAGTGAGCATATATTAGCAGCATACTGACTAACTAATTCATTAATACCCTGAATGCGAGTATTCAACTGTTGTTGCCAGGCTAAAATTTGAGTTTGAGTATGAAATTCTTCTAGAAAACAGGTTTTAAAAGATTGACCCATATTATCTTTGTTAGAATAATAGGTTGGCCAGTCAGCAGTTGTGTGAGCTTTTAATTGATACCAGTGGCTAACAATACCTCTTAGATAGGATGCTACTATTCTAACTTTTCTGATATCAGTCATATTATTGGTATTAGTTGCTTGTTCAAATTCTTCTAACCAGGTAATAGGAACTTCATGACCATTGCCACTGAAAGTTGGAATGGGGATAGGACCTTGACTTTGGTTATTGATTAGATCAGCCAGATTTTTGAGTGCAGTAGTTAATTCATTACTCATATCTTCTATTGATTCAACTTGAGATGATGATGTAACTTGAGGTGATAGTAATAGTTGTGGAGGTATATCCAAAATAAGTGAAGTTTGTTCTTCTTTTCCTGAGTCAGATTCGTCTTCTGTACTAGTTGAGGAAGAAAAGAAATCTTGTATATTTTGAGTGAGACTTTCAACAATAGTTAGTTATCTAATAGTTATAGTATTAGGGATAGAGATTAAAATTGGTAAAAGGTCAAGCTGAGTAAATTGATATCGCTCAATACCAAATTGATCAATTTCAATTGCTAATTGATTGATGTAATTTTATATTGCTGTGAATTGATGTGCTGAGTGATTTATTATCCACTGTTGTAAATTAAATTTAGCAGTTCTTATTTATCGGTCATTTCTGGAAGCAATAGTAGTAAAGAGGCTATGAAGTCTTATATATAGTTCTTGATTTTGTCTAGTAGTAATAGGTCTATCAAGTATTACTCTGATATTCTCAATTTGTCAAAGAATTTCTACTTCTGTTGGTTGAGTTAGATCCAGTTTTAATAATTATTATTGAAATTTATCTAGTATCAGTTTTAACCCTCCAGAGGGAGCACCAAAAAGCTGTTACTGTTCTTAATAGGATGGACAAGAAAATACTAAATATAGTAATATTTATATTTAATAAGGAATAAGAACAGTATCAGTGACTGTGTGTACTTGAGAGAGTTGAACTAGATAAGATCTGTAAGTTAGGAATTTCCTTTGGGAATCTAAGAAATGGGATATTGATAAAATCCGTGGACTCTTAATAAGAATATAATTATTGTGGCAGATTAAAATGAAATCAGATTAAAATGAAATTTGGGCCGATTTTTTGTGCACATCACGTGATGTCATATCATGTGTTTTATTTATTCAAAATCATTATAGCATGTGATTTAGCATCAATCATATTATTAGTAATACAAAGTGATTTTTCCCACCACGCCTGCCACTTCCACAACAATTGTGCTAAGTTGATGTTGAAAATTATTGGATAGGTCATTAAATTGGTTTCATTTTGCGGTTAGTATGTCAGAATTATGCATTTGACTTACTAAACTACGAAATTTTCTTTCGCTTGGGCCTTAAAATTGCCACTTTGTTTCTTGCCGTCGAAATTGCTGCCGCTTGGTGCTGCTATTTTGTTTCTTGCTATCGAAATTGCCACCTCTTGATGTGTTTCTTGTCAAAAATTGCTGGTTTTGTCATCTCGGAATACTTCATAACGGTTATAGATGAATAAACCACGACTCTGCTCCCAACTCGAGAAGTCTTGACGGACACCATAATATACCCCGGTAAACAAAACATCGTTAACAACCAAACGAGCCGATAAAGTGCTGACCAAGTGGCAGCATAGTGACCAACAGAGCTACCGCTGGCGGGCCCAACACCGCATTTGCCATGCCTTTTCGATGTTTGCCATGCTTTTTGCCGTTGGTTTCTCAGGTGCTTTGTGCTAGGTTTCGCTTTCGTTTGCTTTCCAGTGTTTTACGTCGTTTCTGTCAGTTGTATGAAAGAAGGCTACGCTGGGTTTCGCTTTGTGGTGTTCATATTGCTTTCCAGTATTTTGCGCTGGGTCAAGTTATCTCCGTTAGTTGTATGGAAGAAGGCCGTGTCAAAATCAAGATACGTGAATAAGGATGGTTTTACTTGCATCACGTACGTCATGATTTTTACGCGCTGAACACAAATATAAACACTGCGCGCCAGACAAACCCAAACACAAATATAACCACTACGCACCGGACAAACACACCACATAGTTCTCAATTTTTCATTCTCTTCTCTCAAAATGGTCAAGCTTCCAAAAATGCCGAACACACCCGAGGATTTTAATGATGTTTTGAGATACCTCAGGTCTGGCACTTTTGCAGCAAAGTATGACACCCCGACAAAGAGAGCGAATTTCCAAAGACGATGCAAAAATTTTTTATATGACCACCAAAAGGGTTATCTTTTTTATATTCAACCATCAAAAGATAAAAATTCCCGGCCCATCTTCAAAAGAGTTATTCCAGCCTACGACACAGAGTTAAAAGCAGCTCTCTTCGAAAAGTTTCATGTTGGGACCACCCACTTTAAGTATCACAAAACATACACGATGCTCTTCGAGCAACACGTTGGTATTACTCAAGATGAAGTTAAGGAGTATGTAAGAAACTGCTCGACCTGCATCCGAAACACCAGCATTAAAGAAAAAGCTGATTTGACGCCTGTTGTAGCCGATGGCCCTCTCGAACACGTTCAAGTCGATTTAGTTGACTTACTTTCTTTTGCCGAGTATAATGATGGATATAGTTACATTCTCACGATGATTGAT